TTTGCTTTACTGAAGGACCTGCATCATAGTACCATCTTTTACTAAAAAAGAAAACCCCAAACAATATAACTGGCATTCATGTACAAACTGTGTAAATGCTCTTAAGTTCTGCCTGGCTTCAGAATAGTGAACAGTACCTGAAGTATCTACTCTCCATCCCAATTTGTATATTTTAAAAGTCATTAAATTATTGAATGAATCATTAGGAAAACAATTCAAATGCTATTAAACTTATAGTAATTTTGCCTCATAGGATTGATGGGAGCTTAATGTTTGCAAACAGCCAAATTCTTTTAAGATTTACACTACGTGAAGTTCAGTATCAGCCAGGGAAGAATTACTAAACCAGGATGTACTTCAAGTAGAAGTTTTGGCCCAAGACTATTTTTGGTCTTCTTCAACTGCTTGTTTTGACAGCATCTAGTCCCGCTCATACACCCACCAGCAGGCACACAATCTATCCATTTACACTTTCAAAGCAAATTGAAAATGAAACATTCTCAAATAATTACTTGCGGTTGTCTGTAATACAAATCCATAAAGTAACTGCAATTCGACTGTAATATTTCTTCGGGAGAAGAAAGGGACAGGGAGAAAAATCTTACAGAAATCCATTCAAAATGTGACTTTTTCCTACACTAATGCTCTCACCATCACCCCATAAAAATTAAAATAAAAAATAAAAAATAAAAAATAAAAAATAAAAAATAAAAAATAAAAAATAAAAAATAAAAAATAAAAAATGAAAAATAAAAAAGGAAAAATAAAAAAGAAAAAATAAAAAAAAAATAAAAAATAAAAAATAAAAAATAAAAAATAAAAAATAAAAAATAAAAAATAAAAAATAAAAAATAAATCTAACTCCCAAAGAGCTTATCTACTCTATTTCACACATTCCCATCAGAAACACAACACAGTCTCCACGTTCAGAAGACTTTTCATTCAGTGAGTCATTACAAACCCTGGTGAAAAAACAGTAACTGAGGTGGTCTTCTGCAAGGACACAAGGCAAAGAGGGAAGCAGGAAGGTGGGTGAAGAGGGGGAAATAGCCAGGGCTGGAACTGAAACAGTTCACCTTTGTCTGGAGAGCAGGATCACCCCCTCCAGGTTGAGGTCTATGCTGAAAGAGTGTGCTGCTCTGGCGGCACGAGGTGTGTTTCTCCATTCACACAGGAGAGGAACCTGGCCCACAGATGGCCTGTTCTCAGCTTTGTCAGCCACAAACAGACCTTTGAACTTTCTATTTATGTAACAGTTTAGTGAGTTTAAGCCTCTTCCTGTATAACTGGCAGTTTGCTGGTTTTGCTGTAATTAGGCTACTGGTGATACATAATATAAAATAGGAAAAAAACAAGAGGCTTGTTTCTCTGCAAGGGAGAAGTCTTCCTCCTTGCAACCACACAGCTGACACTGTTACCTGCTCATCTTACTTTACCTTGCCAGGTTTTGATTTACATACCTCAATATGCATTTTTCTCCTAAGTATTTTCTTAACTTCCACTTTTTTAAAGACTGGAGGACTTAAAAATATTAATACCTATGATAATAAATATAACATAAACCAAGATTTTTTCTGCCTTTGTTTATGCTAGTGAGGAGTATATATTCTGGGGCGGCTGGGTCTTTTTTGGGTTTTGTTGTTTCCCAGCTGCTGATTAATGATACCACCTTACTCTGTAAGCAGATTCAAATCTAGCCACATGGTCCCAGGCCACAGCAAGATTTCATTTACTTGGTTACCACGGACAAGCATGGAAAGTGATTTAAAAGATGAAATTTGATTTTTAACAGCAAGTGGTCCCTTTGGTGCACACAGGCATTCAAGCTTTTCATTATATCCATCTCCCTTCCTTTCTCCCTCATAGAATGGTTCATATTAAATGCAAGCCCAGGTGAACACTTCTTATTCATCCAGAAATCATAGCAGACTTCAGCTTCGGCCCTTTCATATCATCCTGAGTTTACATTTATTTAAATTGTTTTGGATATTTTTCAGTTTTTACAAGTCTGGCAAAGCATCCATGAGGATATTCGTGGCCTTAGTTTACACATTTTACCCCAGTGTGAATAAAAACCCCCACATCAACTCTCAGCTACCTACCTTCCCAATCACATTCTTGATGAAGGGTCAATGAAACACCTCATTATTGTACTACTGTGATCTCTTCTAATATGGGAAATGAAAGGGCCAATTCTGCAGTGTATATGATCAAGACAAAGCTCCCACTAATCATCGGGAAGACCAGGTGAGAATTTCAGCACATGTGTAGTGGCACTGCACGATGTAACAATCACAGCTCTTGATAAAATATGTTTCAAGAAGTGACACAAAAATGCACCTCCATTGGAGGGGGGGGTGGAAATTAACTGTATTTTTCCCATCAACGAGTAACTTTCACAAAATCATTTCCTGGTTGAAAGGCAAGGCAGAGAAAGTTTACCTTTACATCTTTTCATCAGATTAAAAAAAATCTGCTCAAGCTATAAATATTTTTTTAATATATTTCTCAGGCTAATGATGTTTCTGTTGTACTTTGCATACAGATAATACAAACACCTACACACAGTAGGCCTGAGCTTGCCTTCTTGGTGATTGCAGCACAGATTAGGAGAAGTTTTGGGTTTGCAAGGAATGCAGAAGAAGGTACCTAATTGCTTTATAAATGCTTGTGAAACATGTTTTACAAAGGCCAGCTCACAGGCAGAAGGAGGGCAGCTTCAAAATAAGAAGCAGAAATTCACACATCATGTTATATGTACTGATTTGCAAATATTGCAAACCAATCACACCATATTGGATACACAGACAAAATTAATAAATCTTGATGGATGCGCATGCATACTGCTGGGTGTGTAGTGATGATGTATGTATAACATATTACATACATACATGTGTTTGTGGAGAGAGGAGCTAAATTTAATACTCTTTAAGGTTCTCAACTATTTGTCAGAGACAAAAATATTTATATGTACAATAAAATACATATCACATGTCATAGACATGTAGATTATGTATGCACATATTATATATGTACTTACATACACTAATTGGATTATTAATAGCCTAAATGCAATTTGATCTCTGCAATAAATGTGTGTGAATGCCTGGGCCACAATAGAGAGTTTGAGCAGATATCAAACTGTTTGAAACTGTCAAAGTAAAAATGTTCTTACCTCATGAACCCTAAAAAAGTACATTTCACAGTACAAAAAACATCAAATAGAATTTTAGAATGAGGGGCAATATATTCATATTTTATGGAAAAACTGAGGCACGAGAGTTCCCTTCTTTCTGATGCACATCTCTAAATCCACATAAAACCATAGTCAAATGAAAGTAAGTTATTAAGCAAACACTAAAACTCAATACCTATAAATGCTTAGTATTTGAACTACACCCACATATTGGGTTGTAACAGCTTCTATTAAATTAATGTCACTCACATTATAAATTAGGGAAATCGTATGCAAATATTATTTGAGTGGTAATACGGTGGTTATCAGTTGTCTGCAAAATAAATTAGTGTAGCAGGGTAAAGATACTGTAGTAGAAGCATAATATTTAATTGAGCACTAATTTTATTGAGCTTATTACTTTTAAATAACAACAGCATGATTATTAAAAAGATGTAATACAGTGGATTATGCTGATAAAACATGCACATGATCGAAAATGCCTGCTTACAGATTAATATTGATATAGTGTAATTTATGGTTGCAAGGATTTACTCCCAATTGCTGTAAAATGGAATGTGACAGGTATTTGGTCCTGATTACTATGGATTTGCAAGTATAGCTGTTGGACCATATTTAGCAAAATTATAGTTATTAACAAGATAAAGTACCTTTTTCCTAGACATACCTTTATATTATTAACAAAATAAAGTAAACCCTCTGCAAAACACGAGGTCCAAATGCACCTATATACACATATATAATCTGTGTGGCATTTAGAGAGTAGGATCACAAAATATAGTATTTTAGTCTCTTCCTTGGCAAACTGCACTCCAGTTTGAAATCATTTAAGAAAGCAGTACCCAACCCTTGAAATTATCCATGCATAGTTAAGGAATTATATTCGCTAAATTGAAAAGTAAAGAAAGAACCGATAAACCAGCCAAAGAATAAGCATCTCATTAACCAGCCGCAGAAGTGACTAAATACCTACCCAAATTCTAACTTTCTCAGCTACTCGTCACTCATCAAAAATTCCTTAACATTCAGGTTGATAACAAGTTTACAATGCACTTAAACAGATCCACCGACCTTTTTAATGTGTGCGCTTATTTACAGAGCAATATAAACCTAAAATTCCATTCTTAAAATAAATGGAAAGAAAGAAAAGAAAAATGAGGCAGAGACGGGCAGGAAAAAAGGACCTGTTATAGTATCACGGGTACTGATCTTCCCGCTTACAAAACTAACTTCAATAACGCTTCATCTAGAATAGGAAACCAGCAAAACACCAACAGAAGCCCCCACACCGATTAGGGCTACAGCCGAACTGTGCCACAGCGAAACTACAGTTGCGGTTCTCCCCGTGAAAGGAACATTGTCAGTGACAGCAGTAAACACAACATTAGAAAAGCCGCGATCCCGGGGAACATCGCCGCCCGCGCTCGGGAGGAGGCTGCCACCGCCGATCGCAGCCGGCACCCGGCACCTCTCGGCGCTGCCCTGCGGGCCAACTTCGCCCCCCGCCGCCGCTCTCCGAGCGCTGCTCCCCAGCCGGGGCCGGCAGCGCGGCCGCGGAGCGTGGCTGGAGCCGCCGGCACCAGCTCCCCCAGCCGGCTCCGCTGCCCGCGGGCTCAGCGCGGACCCGCTCCCCGCTGGCACAGGGTGCTTCGCCCCTCAACAAAGGCTACGGCACCGGGAGAGGGAGCAGGGAAGGGTAGGAAGAAGGCAGCTGGAAGAAGGAGCGGGCCGGGGGGGGGGGGGAGGGGGGGAGAAACCAAAACCAAAAAAAGAAAGAAAAAAAAGAAAAACCGAAAAAACCTACCACTGCTGCTCTAAGTCCCAGTCCCTGAAAAAGTCGAATAGGTCCATAACGATGTGGTGGGGAGACTCAGAGAAGTGGTGCCCCCGCCCCGCAGAGCCGAGCCGAGCCGGCGCGGCTATTGCTGCCTGGCCCGCATGAGCAGCGGCGCCGCGAGGAGCGGCGGCCGCCGCGGGGCCGTGCGGAGCCGCCCGGGGTGGCGGAGCGCCGCCGCCGCCGCCAGCAGCGCGGCGCGGCTCTGCCCGGCTGGGAAAGGCAGCACAGCGGCGGCGGCGGCCCGGCGCACACACACACACAGACAGGCGGGCAGGCTGCCTCGCACACCGCGAGGGGAGGAGCCGGGGCGGCCCGAAGCCGCGGCATGGAGCCGCCGCGGCAGCACCGCTGGGATCCGGCGGAGCTGCGAGCCTCCGCCGGGAGCGAGGGGAAGTTTAGCTGCAAGGAGGAACTGCGGGAACGCGTGGAGCGGCGCGTCTTCGCGCTTGCGAGAGACCTGGAGAGGCCTAGCTGGGGTGTAGAGAGGGGGCGAGAAGGGGGAATAGGGGAGAGAATTTAAAAAAAAAAAAATTAAAAAAAAAAAAAAAAAAAAAAAAAAAAAAAAAAAAAAAAAACCACCAAAAATAAAACCCACAAAAAACTCACACGCACAAAACCAGGCATCTATAATCCTATCATTTAATTGCCAAAGCTCCTGCGTGTGGACAAACACAAACCTGCCTGCAAGGACGTGGCAAGGCCAGAGCTCCGGGTCAGCCGCACTGGGAGATGCAGGATGGCAGGGAAGGGTCAGAGCAGAGTCAGGCCTGGGCAGCCCAGGAGGGCTGGATGAAAAAGGCCCCCCCGAGCCTCGTGAGGCCTGGATCCAGGGGAGCACCCCGCTCTCCCGCTGGGATGATGACCCTTCCCTCTTGCCCTGTGATGGGCGGTGGCACAGCTCACCTGTGGGCATCAGTCCTGACAGGGGCATCCCAGAGCCCACCCCACTCCCCCCACCAATCCCAGGGAGAAGCCAAGCACAAGTCCCAGGCTGCCCGTATACAGAAGTAGAGAGGAGCCCACTGCTCCCTTTGTCCTCTAAATGAAATTATTCTCTACCCAGATTCACACTTTCATATCTGAATTGCCTTCTTAACAGTAACCAATATCTTATGATTTTTCACATCCATTTAACATTTATAATACTCCAAATATATATACCCACTGAGCAAACAAGTGCATAAATTGGTTTTGCAAAGACAAGACCAAAGCCATCTTCATTTTTACTCCAGTCTTCCTCAGAACCAATCACTCCACGAGCTTCCCTGCAGGCCAGCAAGTCTTGAAGACTTGGTGAAGTTTGAAATGACCGTTATTTTGGTGATGTCCCATCTCCACGGCCGTGTCCCAGCCCCAGGAGACTCAACACAGCTGGTCATAGCAGCCAACTCTGCCACCACAGGTAAGGCTCCAAAGAACCCTCTGGCAGAAATATCTTTATGGGCTTCCTGAGAATTAAGAAAAAAATTAGTATTATAAATTACATCACTAGCAGAGCAGATAATGTAATCCACAAGTTTTTGCTTTTCTAAGGAGTACACAATTGTTTTATAAGTGCTATTATGTTAAAAATATTGTTGAGGGAAAGCTGTGACACTGTTATCAGTGGAAGTCAAACATGACAGAGTTCATCTTAACTTGGGCTTCACTGCAAGATTCACATTTGCATCATGTGTCTCGTGGGCCCCCAAAGGGAGGGACCTCAGGCAAGGCTGTGCTGCTGAAAGTCCACATTCACACCCAACAAACCTAAAGCACTTCTCCTCTCCCTGCCAGGGCAGGCAGGTGCACGCAGCATTTCCTTTTTTGCATGTGTTTTCACCACTGACTCAACACACTACTCTGGCCCTCGAGCTTTAAAATATCATGAGTTGGGCCCCTCTGTTTGCTGTTTCTTATTTTAGCATCATCATTGGTTTTAAAGACCCCATTCAAAATCATAATTTGTGGCCAATACTTTTAGACCAAAATGGGATGTGGAGTCACACCTTCAAAACATTTCTCCAGATGCAGGTAGGGAGAGGCTTTTTACAAAAACAATTACTATTAATAAAACTAAAAGCCTAGTGTGTCACCTAATCACTTACATTCAATATCTTGCCTATTTTCAGTACACTGAACTTCAACCATTAAACTCAAACAATGTACTTAAAGCACTGGGACTTGCAAAAGGTGGCAGTTCTGTTTCCTGCTTTCTCAGAGGGTCTTATGGCTGCCAGCCAGTACCCCCTGCACCAAAAAAAGTCTGCAAGAGGCAAAGGGCTCTTATCACTTCCCAGGTATAAGCACCTTCACTTTATTAAAGCAAACCCTTTTCAATTCTTCAGAAACTAGCAAAAGATGCACAGAACAGATCCTGAAAAGGCTTTCAGAACTCATTCCAGCAAAGGGGTGGGAGATCCTTCATCTCCAAGGAAACCTGCTGTCCCCATGACGTTCAATAGCAGAGGTAGTCGATCTCCTCAGAAGTTGTATGTTTGGTACCTGGAGCTCCCCAAGCACCCTCAGGTCTGTGACAAAGTTTGTGAATGAAGCTGCTTTTTACTGTCAGTTTCAAACAGCATTTTGCAGTCAGTTTCAAACCCCCAAGGATGCACCTGAGTGCCACCACCACTGTGGACACCCAGCCCACGCTCCACTGGAGCCCTGAGCTGGACACACATCTGTTACCACGCGGGGGAGGGACAGTGCTTTGTCCAGCCCTCTACCCAGGGACACAGCAGCCCTGCTGCCAGCAGCCACACTTGGCTACACATAACCAGGACACACACCAGTGCACCACGAGCTTGCCTGCTCACCGAGACCTGGCCTGCAGGAGCACAGGGCTGCAGGGACATGACGGGGTGTATGTGTTCACCCAGTGCCTGGCTGCTGGCACAAGGATCCAGCGCCCTCTCCAAGGCCCCAGCTCAGGGGCAACCACAAGCATGAGGCTGTCGCAGCTCCGGCTCCACACAGCGAAGGGTTCATTTACCCGAACTGCCAAGAACAGAAAAATCAGCTGCCCTCGGCATGACCTCTTCTACAGTTATAGTGGAAAATACAACTGCAGTTCCCAGCACCTGCAACAGCTCAGAACGGGGATAATAAGATCAGCAAGGCCTCCTGGCCCTGTGCACTGCAACCCGGCCCTGCAACCTGCTACAAAGGGGAATGCTGGCTCAGCACGGGTCAGGCTCCACTTTTGCCGACGAGGCTGCAGGCAGGAGCCCTGCTGCCATTGCACTGGCCGGACCCTGCCCTGTGCCAGCTGCCCTGCCCCTGCCCAGCCTGCTCGACAAGCCCAGAGTCAGCTTCCCAGCGAGATGCTCCTTGTAGGTGGCTTGGGCGGTTGTCCCCATACAGGGTCAGAGGAGAAGGAGTCCTGCTGGAGTGTCCCTCTAATGAAGGCACAGATGCCCAGACGCCTCTGGTGGCTGCTGTGGACAAGGCATAGGTGGACTCACAAGCTGAAAACACTATGCAACTATTGGAGCTGCTAGGGTTGCACCAAAACAGTCAAACTTCCCACCTCCTTCATCAGGTTTAGCAGCAAAGAGTGGAGAAGAGAGTTTGGAGCAGGGAAGGGACATCCCAGCCTCATGCTTTCTCTTTCAAACCTACCTACATCCCTTGATAATCTCCTTACCCAAAAGTACATTTGTAGTCTGGATGAAAAGGAACATACAAAGGCAATGAGGAAAGAGTGAACTAGTAACAAGGGCCTGTGTAGTGCTCCAAAGACCGGGCTGCAGCTGCCACCACCTCCCCCAATGTTCCTGTTCCTGAAGGAGGAGAGATTAGACTGTCCATGGTGGGTCAGGTGAGACAGGCCGAGGCCGCAGTCCACAGTCACAGAGGCAAAAGGTAATTGAACTGCACCCCTTGTGAGACAGCACAGAAATCTTTTCTGCTGAGAACACTCCATTTTGTCCAAAGAAAAACTTATTTTACCCCAAAACAAGAATAATGAAATCCCAGTTTTCTATCCAGAAAATGTGAATTGAAAATTTGTGCCCAGCTATGAATACAGATTGGAGATATTTGGATTTCTGAGGAAAGGAAGGTCAAGTAATTTTCACAGTGTGAAAAATGAAGCTAACAGAGTTCATATTTCTCTGTGAAGCAATGATTGATTTTTCTTTCTGTGGCTCATTCATACAGCACTAAACGTATAGAGAACAAACTTATACCTTAGATAAAGCACACAGATTACATTAATACATTGAAAATTAAGTTAATATTAGCATCTGTTTGAAGGTAGGCACAACTCTATGAGAACAGGCAGAAGATGGCATACATAAATCTTATGGATACATAAATCTTATGTATTCTAAAGCTGCTATATCACAAAAAAATCACCATTGAGATGTGTATACATAAAGTAGGAACCCATCATATTCTGCCTCTATGGCTAAATTTCCCCTTTGGAAGTACATAAGGATTTTAGTTACTGACAACATGTTGTTACTCAATTTCAAGTGTGTATGTATAGGCAATCTTTATTTTCCTACCATCTTAATTGTAATTATCAACTCCGCGCTGCCTGAGCGAGTTGATTCATTTAACTGTGCAGAACTATTCTTATTAGAGCTACTACTCCTATTTTATGAAACAAGATTAATTTAAAACAATAATCACTACTAGAAATATATTGATAATGTATTCTTACAGTAAGAAGGGGGAATGTTTTCATATCCTGTTTAATAATCATTCCTTCAGTATGTTTCTCCAGACTCCTTTAGGAAACATGGCATTTTGACATTTTTGTTGTAGTGGAGTTCATAATGGCAAGCTCTTACATATGTTAGGATGTGTCCGCAGCTACCTGCCAGGACACACTGAGTTTCATCACACTCTGATCCTATAAGGCTCAGAGTGGATGTTATAAGGTCCCACAATGATTGGAAGTGAATTGGCCATAGGGGTTTTCAGCTCCCTCTTTTGGTACTTCTGTTTCTTGATCACGTGTAACCCAGGAATGCCATTCAGGTGGTGAGAAAGGTGAGAAACCTGACACAGGTTGCAAACTAACACTTTCAAGAGATGCATGTTGATAGCTCAGCAGTTGTGCTAGAAGTCTTGTGGTGCTAAAACTGTGACACTGTGACCCTAC